GCTCTGGGAGCACGCATGGCCTCTGGGAGCATGCAGGGGCTGTGAGGGCACACAGGGGCTGTGGGGGCACACATGGGCTCTGGGGAGCACACAGGGCCTCTGGGAGCACACAGGGCCTGTGGGAGGAGCACACAGGGGCTCTGGGGAGCACACAGGGGCTGTGGAGACCCACAAGGGCTGTGGGGGCACACCGGGCTGTGGGGGCACACAGGGGCTGTGGGGAGCACACAGGGGCTGTGGGGGCACACAGGGGCTGTGGGAGCACATAGGGGCTGTGGGGAGCACACATGGGCTGTGGGAGCACACAGGGGCTCTGGGAGCACACAGGGGATCCACAGCACCAGGAAGGAGGGGGATGCAGCTGGCCGGTGTGGGGCCTCTGAGAGGAGGCAACGAGGCTGCAAAATGGGCCACCTTGCTGTGAAGGAGGTTCACAGAGCTCCACTTCCTCTCTGTCTGTCCCCAGACGTCTCCCACAGGAAGCCTGGGTCCAGCCACTCACCACCCTCCTTGCCTGGGGCATGCCCACTGTTATCTGTAGGCTCAGTGAAGAGGAAGGCCCTTCTCTGCAAGGACCTGGCCTTTGTTCCCCACCCCCACCCTGCCCCCTGCTCACCCTCAAGGGCCTCAGGGCACCCTGTGGGCCCCTTTCTCTGAATCACACATATTCTGTTTTATTTTCAGGGACAAGAGGAAGGCAGCACTCACTGAATCCCTCCTTAGTCCTAGGTGATCCCCTAGTTACCCTGAGAGGCAGACATGTTCCCTGCTCTACAGAGAGGATGCTGAGGTCCATCCAGCCCTGCACACCTCAGGCGCAAGCCAAAAAGGAAGGGAAATCCCAGACCGGCTATTGTTTCCCTTGACCCATGGCCAGAGGGCCAGGCACTCCCCTCCTGCCTCACAGCTTCCCCTCAGGAAGCAGGAATCTCCTTGCAGCTGGAGCCCCCCCCCCCCCGCCCGCCACCCCGAGGCCATGCCTGTCCAAGAGCAAGAACAAGGATGCTTCTGTGTATGCGCAGGATGCCATAATCCAGGCACTCAGGCTCTCCCAGGAGCAGGAAAAGGAGGAGGTACACTACACCCCTGCTCGAGGAGGCAGGCCCCCCCCTCCAGGTGGCCCCTACCAGCATGAAGCATGGAGTCCCCAGGCCCACCCCCAAGGCTGTGCAGGAGCCCTGGCTGCTGGGGCCCCACAGGAGGGTGAGCCAGGCCCAGGTGAGATGCAGCCGACCCAGGAGTGCTCCTTCCCTCATGGGACACACAGAGGAATGTGGGGTGCCCTAGCCTGTTCCCCTGAGCACAGAGAGGCCAAACCCCCAGGGTGGGGCACACACAGCCCTGTTCTTTCCAGGAAAGAGCAAGAGCCAGGGCCCTGCCCCAGACTACGCCTCCCTCCCACCCCCCACCTGCTGGCGGGAGGGCACTGGGCTTCCGCACCTGGGCTGGGCCTTGACTGTGAACGAGTTGCTCCCGTGCTGCTTCTCCAGGCTGACCAGCACATCGTTGAGGTTCTGGTTGAGCTGCAGGAGGAATGGCAAGTAGGTGGGAAGAGCCTCTGGGGCTGCCAAACACCCCCCTCTCCCCTGCTCCTCCCCACACCTAGCCCTGTCGTGCACCCCTGCCCCTTACCAGGAATAAGCGTTTTGTACCCCATGGGTGGGTGCTGGGAAAGGCACACCAAACCCAGAAACACGAAGGGAAAAAACAGAGGGAGTGGACGACAGTGCTAATCATTACTGCTTCTGAGGACCATCTTCTCTCTTCTTTCTACTTGCAGAAATTTCCTAAAACACCTCATGCAGCTTGTACTTTTTTTAAATTTTTTAAAATTATTTTTGCAAACTAACTGTTGATTATAATTGTTAAGGTCATTTTGCCAAGAGGTTTTCAGGCCACACTACAACTGCCAGAGATTTCACTAAAAACGATTTCACAGCTGGGATAAGAGTACACAGTGATTCTCATTCCTGAAATACATTTCCCTCTCTCGCGCTGGCAACTAGGAAGCTCAGAAGTGAATTTTCCTCCAACTTCACATAAATGTTTTCTTCCCCCAAACCTCTCTTCCTGTTTGTTTTTTAAACTTTTCATACGTTGTCTCAGGAAGGAAAAGAATGGGAAGATGTAAAGGGCAGGAAATCACAGTCAGGGTGGTGACTCAGGGACAGACCCCAAGCTGCTTTTTCTCCCCTGCCCTGGCCTGGACTCCACCACCATCACTTGGTTCCTCTGCACCCAAGAGACAGAGTCCGTGGCCCCTCGAGTGCCTAGAGCGAGGGACTGCCAATACTGGGCCTGTCCAACTCTGCTTTGTAGTTTAACCGCCAGTTAAAATGAAAATAATACACCTTGGGAATTTTAGCTAATGAGACCCCTTCGTACACCGGATTCTGGCAGATGAAGCAGACAAGATTCAATGTCTTAAGAAACATGAGAAAAAAACTGAGGAAATTCTAGTAATTTATGGACCATTTGCCATCGAATGGGAAAGGGCCACCACCATTCTCTGACAGAGCTCCCTGAGCCTGCACCTGAGAACACACGGCACCTCAGGACAGACTGGTTCCCTCCAGGCAGGGGGACTGGGGGCGGGCCCCGCTCACAGCCTCCCCAGCAGGGAAGAGGGGGGTGGCCTCCCTCGGCAGAGAGCATGGCCCAAAGGGGCCACCGGGACCCACCTTACTCATCTCCTTATGGAAGTTCTCCTCCAGGCCTGCAATGCTCTGGAACGTGTTGACGTAGAAACCTACACGGCTGCGGGGGTGGGGAACACACAGGTCAGCTTGGGCGCCCAGGAGACACACACAAAGTCACAAAGTCACACCTACACCCTCCCCAGACACAAACCAGGGGAGGGTGCAGAGATGAGACATATGCATCCTCGGGAGGGGGAGAGAGGCAGGCCAAGGCTCAGCACCGCTGCCTCCCCTCCCAGGACTCACCTGTTCCATAGGGAAGGCAGCTCTTCCTGCAGATCCACGTTCATCTCCTCAAACACCTTCTGGGCTTTGATGAGCTCCTCCTCTGCCTGAAGGGCAGGACAGGTCACTGCCCCCTGCTGGGCCTCTGTCCCAGCCAGCCCCCAGGCCCTGCTCCCCCTAACCACCCATCCCCCAGGCCCTGCTCCCCCTAACCTCCCATCCCCCCAAACCCTGCTCCTCCTAACCTCCCATCCCCCAAGACCTCCCCCTAACCTCCCACCCACCCCCCAACACCTGCTCCTCCTAACCTCCCATCTGCCCCACTGGGACCAGAGCTCTGGGCAAAATGGGGGTGAACTGGATGAAAACGCTCAGCAGGACCTCCCCATGCAGCCCCTTAGGCCCCTACAGCTAGATTTATAGCATTTGCTCCAGGAAGGGAAAACTGAGCAGTCCTGGTAAAAGGGCGACCCCCCTCATCAGGCCAAGGTGGGCCAGGAAGCAGAGGAGGGAAGAACAGGGCACAAGAAAGCTCCAGACAAGGAGCCCGGAGGCTGGGGCACAGAGGCAGACCCCAGACCCAGCCGGCAGGAACTCTGCCCCCTTACATGTGTGAACCCCTCTCAGGCTGAGAGTCAGCCTGCTGCCCAGCTCCCTCGGACTTGCCCTTGCTGTTCCTGCCTGAGTGTCCCTTTCTCAAGCAGGCTCCTACTCAGCCTCAGCCAGCAGCCTGCATTTCATTTCACCTCTGGAGGAGGAGGTAGGACGCACTGCTCACTCCTCTCTCCTCTGTGACCTGTCCCCACCAGACAGAGCCCAGCGGCGTGTCCTCAGGCACGTCCAGGAAAGATGGGGGAGGGGGGGAGAGGGCAGGGCCGGGGGAGGAGGGAGCTAGGCAGCCGGCAGCGCGCCACTGCTCATCCCAGAGCCCTCCCCCTCGCAGGGCCGGCACAGCGCCCTCCAGGCCCGCTCACCCCCACCAGGAGGTGGCGCCCAGGCCCTGTCCCAGAGCTGAGGGCGGAGCCGGGCGAGGGAGGCGCTGAGTCACAGACCCCAGGCCGCCCAGGGGCTCTGCTTGCTCATCAAGAGGGCGCTGCTGGAAACAGTGACTGGGGATTGGAGGTCTGAGTCACAGCCGAGGAACGTGGCAGGCCCCTCCCCGGGAGAAAGCTCCGGCCAGCAGCCTCACGTCCTCAGGCCCCTGGCACACCAGCCACCTGACCAGGGCGACAAACTGCCACCAGGCACACGATTTCCGCAGCCCACCCAGCTGTCCTGTCCAGCCTCGGGCCCTATCGGCGCTGCACCCGGCCAGCCTGCCTTGGTGACCGTGATGGGGCTGCAGGAGAGAGCCACCCCCTCGCCCCTGATGACAATTACCTCAGGGTGCTGGAGCTTTCGAGAGTGAGCATGAGCTCCTCTCCCAACTGCTTAAAATCTAATTCTAAACCTGAAGGTGCAAGAGGGTGAAAAACAAGGAAAGAAAAGAGTCCGGACACACTCGCCTCGGGCATCTCTGGGAGAGGATAGGACCCAGCAGGCCTGCCTGGCCGCACTGCGCTGGGCATCCGAGCGGGACTGGGGGGCACTTGCAGGATGAGTTCTGGCCTGGTCACACAGCCCTCCCACCTGACGGTCTGGGCGCTGGCTCGAGGCCACGTTCCCCGGGGAGCTGCTCTGGTCCGGCCCAGTTTCCCCAGAGGCCACCTCTCCGTGGAGACTTGGCCTCAACCCCACGACGCCGGCCCTGACGCCCCAGATGAACAGCAGTGACAGTGACGGTGAGGGTGGCCCGCAGCTCGACGCCGTAGGCCAGGCCCTGCCCGTGTGCCCAGCAATGCTGCGAAGCACGGGGTGGCCCTGTTTCAGCATTCCTGGAAGTCAGGGCCTGTATCTGTTATTCCCTTCGGGTCACATTCTTCCTATTCTGGCTGTTTCTGAAGCGCTGGAGGGGGTGGGGGTCCAGGAGAGCTCGCCAGCCCTGGTGGCTGGGCTACAGGCCAATGGACACATGGAGCAGACTGAAGCAGGCCTGCTGGCTGTGCACAGGGCACCAGGGTCCTGCAGGCGGCTTTGGGGGACTGTGGCCCTTGAGGAGAGCCCAGGGGATATGTGGCACTGGTCAGCTTAGAGAGCACAGCCTGCCTGGGTCGCGCTGTCTCCCCAGAGTCAAGCCAGCCAGCAGGGCAGCCCCAGGGCCCCAGTGCCCCAGCTCACGGCCAGCCAGCTGCCCGTGGGAACTCAGAAGATGCCCCAGCCTCCAGCCAGGCGCGAGGCAGGGTGGGGGCAGAGAGAGGATGTGCTCAAATAAAAACTGGGTCCAAATGGGAAAGCCAATTGGGCTGAAAGGCCAAACATCTGCAGTCCAACATCCAAAGATGAGATCATGTGCCTTCGCCTCCCTAGCGGCTCCCCTGAGGTGGGGGGGATGGGGCCCTCCCAGCAGGACGCCCTACCCACACCCAACCCGGGAGCCCAAAGGCAGCCACAGGCACCACCCCAAGCTCCAATCCCCCAGAAGCAACAAAGCCTTCACCTGGTCTCCTGCCAAACCCATCTCCGGGAAAACTATGCAGAAACCCTGGGTCTAGGTCAGTGGCCCCAACCCCCTCCAGCCAGAAGTCCTGAACTCTACAGGCAGGGCTGGGGCCCCAGCCTCTAGCTCCTTCCTCCACCTCCTGGGGGCCATCTCCCCCAGGTCTTGGACATCCAGGGTCATGCCACCCTCGGGGCAGGGCTGTTGACCACTCAGTGCCTCCAAAGTCAGCCCATAACTTTGGCCTGAAAGAAATCAGGCAGCAGGTCAGGTAAGAAATTGGGCCGCGAGCCCATGCTGAGCCCAGAGCCCTCCACATCACAAGCATTCAACACATGTGGGTTGAAGATGATGAAATCAGGAGGTGGCCCAGAAAAAAATGGGGCAGCTGCCCAAAGAGAAACCCGACCTGCTGGGTCAGAGCTCCGTTGCCCACCCCCACCTCAGGACCATGAAGGGGTGCTGGGGTCCTGTGAGTGTCCCTGGAGAGAAAACCATGAGGCCACCTCTCCCAGGGTATACCTAGCCGTCCCTGGCTACGCTGTGCTCCCCCGAAACCCAGTCCGTCCCAAGGGCAGACGACTGTGAAGAGTGAAGTGTTACCAGGGTATTAAGATCAGTCAGGAGTTCTGTAAAAAAAGCCTCCTCCAAGAAGCCCTCCAGAACCACCGTGGTGCATAGTTTGCCCTTTGTGAAATCCCCAAAGAGCCGACCTCCAGGCCCTCAGATCCCGGCCACAGCTGAAGAGACTTCCCAGGGAGTCCCCTCTAGGGGGCACTATGAGGGCCCACAGGTACCAAGCGTCCCTGTGAGCTGGAGATTTCGCCTCTCTGGGCAGGGTAGTGTCTTCAGTAAATTCTGGATACCCTCACAACTTTTACTAGGCGTGAAGGACGACACATGTCCGGACAGGAGCCCTCAGAGAGGACAAATGGCTTTCCTGCATTCCCAGAGGCTAGGATTTCATAGATTCTCAGGACTACCAGAGACCAGGGCAAGAAGCAGCAGACTGGGGTCCTCCCAGGTTAACCAGAGCCCCAAGCCTCCCTGAGTCGCCCACATTTGACCTCAGGTCTCCTCTGACACAGGAGCTCTCCCAGCGGAGGCATTTGAAAACAGCCCTGCCCCCCAACTCAGGAAAGAGACTGTGCCCTCCCCCCTCCCCAGGCAGTGCAAGACGGGCGCCCAGCGCCAAGGACAGGACAACAGACCAGAAGGCGCCAGCACGTGCAAGGTTAGAAGCCAGTGTCACCTGATTTCGGAGCAGGTTAGTTTGAGCTACGAGGTGAGCCTGCAGTTTGCCTTGGCACCACTGGGGGGCGGCTTTCTCAAGCAGCGAGACAGGCTGGGGGTGGGGAGGGGAGGTCAAGGCGAAGGAGAGAGAAACAGGAGGGACATGGGGAGAGAGAAACAGAGACACAGATATTAAACACCAAGTCCAAACGGCCCGAACACAGTGACAGACAAGCTGGCTGCCCCTCCAGGGGGCCAGCCCCCCAGCAGGTAAAGGCCCCTGGAGGTAAAGAGAATTAAGGGGAGCCCCAGGCAAAGGGCAGAGAGGGGAGTGAACTCCAACTGCAAAGCAAAAATGTGAGAATGGTTAGTGAGAGAAGAGGGGCTCAGCAAGCTTGGTCCCGCCCTGGGGTGGGCTGGGGAGGGGACCCACCCTCAGCCCCTCAGCTGCGGACAGTGTGACCAGCCCAAGACCTGTGCTCCCAGGCTTGTTCCAGCTGAGACAGGGTCACTGCGGATCCCATGACAGAATTCCACTCAGAGCACGCCAGGTCGGGCAGGGCCCTTCCAGCGAAACCGGAGCCAGGCCTGTTCTCATCCTGGAAAGTGGCCTCAGAGCAGGGCGGAGGGGCCACGGGCCAGAGCAAGCACCAGGGGATGGGTAGGAAGTGGGCCTTCGCCCAGGTGCCCACAGGGGACTTTCACTCGCCCTCCGTGGGCCCAGCACCAGCCCCCACCCCGCTCTGCTACCTGAAGGGTCACCGGCTCTACACCCATCTGCAAGTGGGGCTGGTGGTTCCTGGGGAGCAGCGAACATCAACAGCGCAAAGGGCTGCAGCGCAGAGGGAGGCCCATCCAGAGGACCTGGGTACCTGGCCTGAGGATGCTCCTGCAGCCCTGCCCTCCGGCCCTTACCTTGGCAATTTTGGCTTCGTCCTTCTTTTTGGCGGTTTGGAGGGACTCGTAATGGTGCCGGGCACTGTCGTAGTCCACCAGCTTCCTCCCTCGCTTGGCAATGCGTGCCTGGAGGACAGACGGGGTCGGGGAGCAGTGCTGAGAGGGCCTCACCCGTGCTGAGACCCTGCCCAGGCTAGGCCCAAAGAAACTGGGGGGAGACGGAGGGCACAGGGCAGTCGACCCTGGGCTCAAGGAGGGCATCTCATGCACGCTGGAAACATTCCCTCCAGCATTTCTGGTGACAAAGAGCGCACCCCTTCAAGGCAGTCCTTGTCCTCTGGGGTCCTTTCTCACACAGAGGCCAGACCATGTGCTCAATATCCACCCATTTTTGTCAGTGCCCGCCAGCCGCTACTGTGGGGGACAAGCCTCTTCCCTGGCCTGGCCCTCAGCTCCTTGAAGATGCCCCCCGGACCCCTGCTTCTCTTCTCCCAGGCCAACACCATCAGCCTCCCTTCTATACTCTTCATTAGGCACCTTCAGGAGCCTGAGGCATCTGCACTGGGTGGCCATGGGGGCCAGCATGGGGCCTGACCCCCAGAGGACTGGGCCAAACACCTCTGCCTTCATGTCTGAAGCACCTGGGGTCCACTGGCCTGAGACCCTCGTATACTGACCATTCCCAGTACCTGGGGGCTGGCTCTCTGGACACACAATATAACACAAATACACCCAGAGAAAAGGGAACACACATAACTATGCACACATTCCCTTCTAAGCACACATAGCCTAACACAGTGACCCTATAGCCTATAACACAGGCCCAGGCCTCACACCCCCTTAATATATCTTATACGACCCTATAGTCACTGCACAGGGACACGGCCACACACACACACACGCACCACGGGTTCTCTTCCCATAGCCCAGAGATGCAAAGGTACTGGGCCCCCAAAGCCCTCAGCTCAGAAGGGCCCAGGTCTGGGGGCTGGTGGGCTGACCTCAGACGGAGCAGCCCTGGAGGGATGAATTGCTGGGTGAAGGAGATGCCTGCCTTCAGGGCACAGTCACCTCAGTGCTTGAGCCTTCCCCCCATCCCTCTGCGCCCCCTCCTGCTCCCCCGCCCAGCCTACCAGATCTGTGTACCAGGTCTACACAGAGGGCCTCTCACCTTGATGTCAGGGAACTGGCCCAGGTATGTGTCCATGGTCAGCAGTGCCTGGTCCACCAGCTTCTGGTGGTAATCCAGCCAGAGGAGGTCGTTGTTCTGAAGGACGTGAGAGCTCCTGAGCACAGCGCCAGGGGAGCTGGTCCATACCCAGCCCCCAGCCCTCTCCTCCCAGAGACCTGGGGTCAGCTTTAGCCCCTCACTTCGCAGCTCAGAAGCTTCTCAGAAGCTCAGCTTCCTCAGGTATAAGATGGGGGTACTATATAATAACTCCTGCCCTATAGCCTCTTGTGGGGCAACCATAAGGAGCAGAGAAGCCCAGGGCCGGGGAGCAGAGGTGGACTTGCCCAAGGGCACACAGCATGTGCCTGCCTGAAAACCAGAAGGGCGTGTCCCAGAGGGCAAGGCAGGCTGAGAGGGGAGCTGAGGAGGGCCCTCGGGGAAGGACTGCGGCCACCTGCCTCCCGCTCACCTCGGCTATCTTGTTTGCTTCATCCCTGCCGGGCCATTCGGGCTCGTACACCTCCTGCAGACATTCGTTTAGTTTCTTGGAGGCCTCGTGCATGGCTGTGGGGTAGAAGGGCCATGCTGCAGCCAGGGCCGCGGGTCACCCTTGCCCAGACCCCCAAAGGCCCAGGAGGTATGGGGGTCCCGACTGCCAGCCCTCACCCCTCCACCACAAACCCTGCTCCCCTTCCCAGCACTGCACCCATCAGCATCACTCGGCAAAGGTCCCTCAGTGTCCCATGAAGCCCACCTACCCAGGAGCCCCACCTGCCCCTTACCTTTGACTGAGGCCAGGTAGGTCCGGAGATCCTTCTGCAGTCGAGTGCCCTCAGTCTGCAAAGAGAATGATGAGGGCAGCATGAGGGCCTAGGGTACACCCTGTGCCTGCCCCTGGCGTTCCTGCACCCCCTGTGGACAGATGCAGGCTGCTCCTGACCCCCTGGAGCACAGCGGCTATTGCCTCTCTGGCCACAGATGCGTCCTGGGCATCCAGTGTTCCTCAGCACCATCCCTGCCCCAGGAGCCCTGCGCCCCTGGGAAGGCGTCCTGAGTTTGCTGGCACCTGTCTCTTCCAGGCACTCTTAGCAGCCCTGTAAGGAAGGCAGGGAAATAGAATCGCCCTCCACCTTGACTAAGACACTGGGGCACAGGCTGAATGACACACACGGCACAGTGCACACACCCACCAGGCGTGGGCCAGGTGACCAGTGAGCACAGAGCACAGGAGTGGGACACCCAGCACCTTGTCCTGAAAGCCCACGCCAGCAGGCTCCCAGTGCGCCGTGCAGGGACAGAGCGTGGCGCTGGAGGTGGGTGGGTAGGTAGGCTGTGGAAGGTGGAAGGGAATGGCTTAGCCAGGCTTCAGAGAAGGGTGGGAATCTCAGGACACTGGCCCAGCCAAGAGGGAGGGTGTAGCATGTAGGAAGAAAAGCCTGGCCCAAAGGCTGGGCCAGGCGGTGAAGACCCTGAGCTGGGGAGGCAGCCCAGGGGCGCCCGGAGACAGCAAAGCCAGCACAGGGGTGGCCCCACAGACAGAGCCCACAGTCCCTGTGGATTATCAATACCATACGAGGCAGGAGCGGGAGAGCTGAGTGCCAGGGGAGAGAGGGGGCCAACAGGCTGAGGCAACAGGTGATGGACAGCAAGATGTGCAAGTCTCCTGAGGCCGTGTGTAAAGTGGGAGCGTGCGCATAGGCGTTGGCGCTATGAAGACCCAAGTCCGGCCCTTAGTAGGCGTGTAGCCTCAAGGAAGTTACCGAAACTCTCTGAGCCTCAGTCTCCTCTTCTGTCAGCTGGGGGTGAATGACCCCCCGCCCCCCGCAGACCACAAGCCTAAGTGGGCCAGGCCAGGCGCCCAGACTTCAAGGCTCAGCTCTATGCTGAGGGTGGTGACCTGGGGCAGAGGGGAAGCGGGGCATGAGGAGGGCAGGGCCTCTGGAACGGGGAAGAGCACCCTCCTCACACCTCCCTGCCCTCCCTGCTTGCACAGCCCTGGGTCCCCTTGCCTTGGTGGGGGGTGAGAGAGATGCGGACTGGCACCAGCCGCAGCCCACCCTCCTGGCCTGCCTGGGGCTTCTGCAGATGGAAGGTGGTCTTGACTCCAGCTGAGGGCAAGCAGGGACACAGCCGACCTCCCAGGCTCACCCCAGCCACCCTCAAACCTCTCCTGCCCCGCCCCCCCCAAGCAGGCCCTCCCTCCTCCTGGCTAGGGCCCACTCTTCCTCCCTGGTGTCCTCAGGGCATGGCGCACCAGCCGCTTCTCCCCCTGCGCCATCTTCCTGGCTGAGGACTGGAGAAGCTGAGTAGCTCAGCGGCTCCCCCAGGGTTCACAGCCTGGTGGGGTGGGTGGGAGCCCCCAGCAGCCTGCACCCTCCAATGCCACTTGCAGCTGCCTGTGTAGTACAGCGAATGCTTCCAGAAGACAGCAGAGGTGTGGTGCAGGGAGGCTTCAGGTCAGTGCATGCGATGTACAGTTGGGGGGAACCCCTCCCCAAAAGTCCTCCAGTCCCCCCAAAGTAGCCTGTCGAACTGTGGCCACACCTAACTCTGAGGAACGTAAAAGTTGGAGACTTGTTGGTTAGAGATTAAAGGAAGAAACGAGAGGCCGGTACAGAGCACTGGATCCAAAGCTGTCTGGAGTTCCATCTCGGATCAGATGCGCCCGTGTGGGACCGGGAATGACGAAGGGCCATCCCCATTCTTGATGCTTTGGCGGCTGAGGTGACGATTCAAGTGTGCTCATGATGTGATTCTATTGGTCATCTGATCCTGCAGAATCTTCCAGGCTCAGCTCCTCTTCCTGCCAAGCTCGGTCATCCCACTCCCCTCCCCACTGTTCCTACACTGCACCCCGAGGAAGGGGTCTCTGTGGGGTGGGCTGCTACGCTTGCCCGGGCCTCAGGCCGTACCAGGGCTCCTTGTGTCCCCCAAACAAGGGCCTCGCTGTGAGCAGGCACACTGGGCACAGATGTGCAAGGGGCCCGCCAGAGCCCGCCTCGCACGTGCCAACCGCAGCTGGGCCCCGGAGCCACGCCCCCCAGTCAGTCCCGGGGTCAGAGGCAGCCCTCCCCTAGTCAGCCCCCCAGGGTCAGACACAGCCCTCGGCCACACAGCTGCCTGCCAAGCCCAGCGCCCAGGCAGGCCGACACAGAACCTGTGTGTTTGCTCCCAAGCTGGCTCTATGGCCCCCCCACAGGGCACCGAGAAAGGACTCTCTGGAGGTTCCCAGGGCTCTAACACCCCTCGCAGAGCAGCCGAGGGAAGCATAAGGCTTGGAGCACAGCCCTTCAGCCTGCCCTCCTGGCTCTGGACTCAGAGGAATCTAGAAGGACCCACAGCCCCATACGAAAACCCTGGGTAGTTCCACGGGTGGCTTGGCCACTCCCCACATCCCTGCTCTACCTCCCTGCAATGGGTGCTTCCTGCCCTCTCTGACACCAGCCCCAACAGCATGGAACCCCCTCCGGCCCCTTTGATTCTTGCTTCTCTGCCTTCAGTTCCAGAGGGTCCTCACCCAATCGCCAGGGACACCCTCTTTGAACCGAGCAGGCCCTAAGATCAAGACGGAATCTGACCTGCGCCATCTCAGCGACAGAGAAGCAAATAGTACAAATGAGCCCTGGGGTGCAAGCTACAGGTGGCCCCTGAGGAAGCGCTTGGCCCACCAGGTGGACCCAGGATGGCTTCCAGGAAGGCCTGAGTTGGACCTGAGCTGCGGGACAGTAGGCAAGGATGTGAGTGGGCCCTTGGGTTTTCCCAGTGCAGAGACAGAGGGCAGAAGTGCCAAGACTGCCACCAAGTGGGGCCAGGAGGGGCTCTGAAACGTGCCCCTGGGACAGCTGGGTGACCTACACCCTCACCTAGGGCACTCATGGGGGGGGGCGGGGGGAGGGAGGAGGAGATTTGCTTCCTTGAGAACCATATTCCTGCCACCCTAGCCCCCAACTGGCTCTGGGCCCGCTGTGCTTGCTCTTCACAGGTACACAGCAGGAGACCTTCCACACTCCACTTCCACCCGCCTTTCCCAGGGTCACCCAGGCCCAGGGCCCTGGCTACCCCCACGCCCCAATCAAATCCAGAACTGCATAGCTGCCTTCAACCCCAAGAGAGCGTCACCCCAAGCTTCAAATGAAGCCTCACATCCTCCCCCTCTGACATGCCAGCCACCCTACCCAATCTGAGGACAGACAGAGCCCAGCTCAAGTGACCATTCTGTGTCCACCACCCGCACTGGCTATCTTTAGCCCTGGCCTCGCTGCCTGGCCCCTGTGCCCAAGGATCACTGAGTGACTCTCCGTCCAGAGCTGGGGCCCAGAGGGGTTGACTCTGAGGGACGAAGGTGGAGAGCAACGCTGTGGTCACAGCACTGGGGCCAGACCACAGGGAAACTCAGCTCCCAAACCTGTGCTTTCTTCACCTTCCACCGAACAGCCCAGCCTGCTCTGAGGCAGCCTAATCACCCCCACCCAGCTCAGTCACCCCCTCAGGTCAGGTCACCCTCTGCCCAGCTCAGGTCACCCTCCCCAGTGCAGGTCAACCCCCTCCCAGGTCAGGTGATCCCCTGCCCAGCTCAGGTCACCCTCCCAGCTCAGTCACCCCCCACCCAGATCAGGTCACCCCCGACCCAGCTCAGTCGACCCCCCAGCTCAGTCACCCTCCCCAGCTCAGTCACCCCCCACCCAGCTCAGGTCACCCTCCTCCCACCCCGTCCAGCTCAGGAGCCGCCTAATCTCTCTCCCTAGCCCAGACAGGTGTCCTCAGGACTGGGGCTCAGCTCCAGCAGGGGTGCCTGAGAGTGGGCAGATCTGGACACCAGACCACTGTGTGTCCTTGGCAGAGTCACTTAGAGCTCCAAGTACCCATCTATAAAATGGGAAATATCAGCGTCTGCCTCAAGAAGGCAAGGTTAATGTCTGAAACCCCAGCAGTACCTAGTCTATAGTAGGCACTCTAGTGATTCCCTAAAAGACTTTCAGAACATCCTGCAGCCTGAGGAAGCCAGCTGAGTAGGGCACAGACCCCGGGAGGTTTCAGGAGACAGCATCAGAAGCAAAGACGTCAGGTTTCTTATCCAAGCCGCCATTTCGCAGGTGAGACAACTGAGGCCCAAGGAGCAGAGGCTCATGCAGGGCCACAGAGGCAGTAGACTCAGCCCTGCCCCCCACAGCAGCCCATCCCTATCATGCCCCCTGGCTCTTTCCCAGCATGCCCCCTACTCTCTCCCAACATGCCTCCAGGCCTTCCCCCAGCATCCCCCAGCCCTGCCCCCTGCATGCCCCCTACTCTCTCCCAAGCCCTCCCCCAGCATGCTCACCCCACCCCACCCCCACCTGCTCCCAGCATGCCCCTGGCCCTCCCCCAGCATGCCCCCTACTCTCTCCCAGCATGACCCCGGCCCACTCCCAGCATCCTCCCTGGGACCCGCATGCCCCCCACTCTGACCCAGCATGCCTCCACCCCCTATCCCCACATGTTCCCTGGCCCTCTCCCAGCTTCTTTCTGACCTTCTCCCAGCTGCTCCTTAACCCTCCCAGTATGCTCCTTCTCCCTCCCCTGTCACCCCAGCCGTCTCCCAGCATGCTCCCCAGCCCCCAGCCCCCAGCCAGTGACCTGTCAAGGTTCTCCAAAGAAAACACCCCCGCCCAGGTTGCATCCCAGCTGCAGAGGCATTGGTGGGCAGCTTCAGTGCTTTCAGGGGCCTCAGACATGGACAAGGAGGAGGAAGAAGACTGGTCTGGGCCTATCTGGCCCCTTTCCTAGTGCTGCTTAGACCCTGACCCCACCCCCATTCTCATTCCTAGTGGCGTCTCCTGGCCTCCATTCCCATCTGTCACTCAGAGCATGAACTGCAGAAGCCATAGGGCCATGGCCTAGCTCTCCCTCCCTTCCCATGACCTTGGCCCTTCCCAGGGAGGGGATAATCACCAAGGTCATCTCATTCCTGGCTTCTATGCCCTCAGACACAGCTGCAGAAGTGACTTATTCTAGACTTAGCAGATTTATGTAAGGAAAAAGGTTTCAGGGACGTCCCAGTTGAGGCATTCAGGGTCCTTCAGTCAAGAAGGTACATGAAGTCCTCCCTGGTATTGAACCACCGCCCCCAGGCTGCCAGTGTGATTAATCCCCTCTGTCACTGGTCTCTGACCTATGCAAAGGGACTTGATAATCGTGCCACTGCAGTCTTTGGGATCAAACAAGTGTGGATCTAAATACACTCCCAAAACAAGATGGCCTTGGACAAATTACCCAGCTTCTCTGAGCCCTGACTGTTTCATCTATAAAAAGGGAACAATGATACCGGAAAGCTTATAAGGATGCTGGGAGGCACACACGGGCCACGTCCAGCAGCTGCTCAGATCAGATCCTGTCTGCTCTGCTCCCATAGCAAACTCTCCAATACCACTCTCCTCCCAGGAGGCTTCTTTAGCTCCTTGCCTTGACATCCAAGGGTTTCTAGAGTCTGGCCAAAACCCACTGCCTGCTCCCATCCAAATGCCACGCCCACCCCCCAGGCCTCCAATCTTCCCCATGGTCCATGCCCAGAGCCACTGCTCCCTCCTCCAGGAAGTCTTCTGTAACCTCACCTCTGGCCCCTGCTTCCCGTTCTCTTACTCCATAAATTCAGCTCTTGACATTTCCTACCTGGCAGCCACAATTCCATTTTGCACAAGCTCCGAGGCCAAAGACCACCCACACTCACCAGCTGTTTGTTGAAATTCTGGACACACTGTTCAAACTGCTCATCCTTCGTCTCATCCGCCTTCCCTAGTTTCTGGAGGACCTGCCAAGGCCGAGAGAGAAGGAAGCATTACATTGAGAAAGCGACTGCCAACCCAGAGTGCCTGATCGCCAACACCACAGATGCTCCCCACCCCCACCAGGGTCCTGGAGGCCCGCGGCCAGCATCACCCAGCCCAGGGCACTAGGACCCTCAGAAGGCCTCGTGGCTGCCGTGAGCCCAAAAGGCAGCCCTGAGTCCATCCAGTCCTGAGACCTCCCCGTCCTCCATCCAGGGCTCACCCATTGGCCAAGAGGAGGAGCTCAGGTCAGGTTTGCTGCAGGGGCTGAAACCGGGAGGAGGGGAGCTCCAAAGGCGGAACAGCCCCGAGTGGGAGGTGACACCCCGGGACAAGGAGGGCAGCAAAGGGTGGCTTAGGTCAGACTCCTGGTGTCCCAAGCTGACTAGATTTTCAGAAGTGACCTCTGCCAGCCACCCTGCTCCCTCCTCTACAGCCCAGCAGGCCACACCAGGCCCACACACACTAACACACAAAAATACACACACACACACACACACACGGGCTCACAGCCACCCACTCTCCTCCCAGCTAGATGTCCCAGAAGTGGACTGTCCCCGGGTGAGTCACACTGTGCCTCCTCAGCTGTGTGGGGGGAGCAGAGACGGATGGGTAAGGGCAGGGAGACCTGAAGCCAGAAGAGGAGGAAAGACCTAAAAGAGAAGGAGCCGGATCAGGAGTCAGAGAGGAAGTCTGATGAGAGAGGGAAGGGGGTGGAGGCCGGGAGGGGTGAAGGCAGCAGGAGAGGAGAGGGCCTGAACGAGAAAGATGAGGGATGGAGGCAGAAAGGGGAACCTGTGGTAAAGACGGGGTGGGTTTACAGCGAGAGAGGGAGGCTGAGACCCCCGCTTCTGGCACCCCCATGGGAAGCAGGAGGACACTGAGACATTCGGTACAGGCAGTAGCCACAGCCTGACAAGCATGGGAAGGAAAGGTGGCGGTGGGTGGGCGTGGCAGATAGAGGGGGGAAAAGTCTGCCCAAACCAAGGGAGACCCTGTCCCTGAACACAGTCCGGGCCCTTCTCAGCGGTGCTGCCCCCAGTCTGGCTGGCTCCGGGGCCACGGCGAGGTCCATGGGCTCTCAGACTGACTCTCAGCATGGAGCACATTCAGCCGTCTCGTCAAGTGCCTGCCGTGGGCTTCTCTGCTGGGGCAGCAGACATCAATCAGACATGGATGCAGCCAGACAGAGGGAAGCACCTGGGGCTGTGGGAGCCCAGAGTAGGGATCCCACGCAGCCTGGGCAATCAGGGAAGACTTCCTGGGGGAAGGGGCAGCTTAGCCGGCAGGGATGAACTTGCAGCCAAGCAAGGAGAGCAGAGAGATGTGGTACATTACCAGGAATTTCCAAATAGCTCAGGGTGACCAGAAGTCACAGCGGACGATGAGGGAGGACATGGGCAGCACAGGGGCAGTGTGCGCATGGGACAGCAGCCCACTGACAGCCTGTGCTACAGCGGTCAGAACGCGGTATCTCAGGCAAGCACAGCTGCAGGCTAATGTCGAGGGGAGAGGAAAAAGGCAAAACAAAACCACCCTGAGCAAGAAAATGGGCATTTCCCGCCATCCACGGGCTCCCCCACTCCTCCCCTTTGGCAGCAGCACCCAGCTGGTCCCGTGGAAACGGGGTGGAGCTGTGGAGGCACCTGGCCTGCTCTGCATGGAACTGGAGTAGGTGACTCACCCCACTATCAGACGCCGGCCCCTTGGCCCCGCCACCTCCAAAGACAGAAATGGAACACTAGGTGGGAAAGAACTTCTAGAAGCCGACAGCAGCCACAAAGGTGAGGAAGAGGCTCCCAGGAAGCAGGGTCCAGGCCTGGTCGGCCCTCAAGGCCAGAAAACTGGGAAGGTGGCCCTGTCCACCCCCTGCCTCCCTTCTCCCCAAGGAGATGTACTCAGTCAGCACAAGTCCCTGGTGCCCACTGTGCCACCAGAGCCCGAGGTCTCCTAGCCCCCAGGCCTGCACATGCACGCACAGCTGGCTATGTGCTCCACCCAGACAGCCTTGAGAGCGGCCAGCCACAGCGAGCTACGCCAGGCAGTGAGAAGACCCGTCAGAAAAGGCACTTTCTCTCTGAGCCTCAAGCGCCTTGTCTGATAAATCAAGAGAATGGCAGCACCCACCTTAAGGCTCCTATCTGTAAAATATGTCTCTGTACCTGGCATACTCGACAGCAATCTCCTACAAGGCCTTCCGAGCAGCCTTCACGCGATTGGGGGCCAGGCCTAACACCAGGCAACCCCCATGCCCAGTGCAGACTGAGAGCTTCCCAAGAAGCCAGACAGAATTCAGGTGCACACGCACCGAACGTACATGTGTGGGCATGCGTGCACACACAGTGAACTCCTATCCACCCGTCAAAACGCTGCTCATATGTTACCTCCTCCATGAAGGCGTCCCTGCCTGCTCTCCCCCCAACACCACTCTGTACCACTTAACGGCTGGGACCTACTCTCCTCACTGCTGTGGGAGGTGCCCAGTGTCTGCCTCTGGCTCTCTGCCCCGGCCATACAAGCAGCCTGAGGTCGGAGACACTGGGCCACACAAGCAGCCTGAGGTTGGAGACACTGGGCCACACAAGCAGCCTGAGGTCGGAGATGGTGTCCAGCCTCTTGTGCGTCTCCAGCTCCTGCAAAGGGCTGACTGAAAACAGGACAGACACAGCTTGTTCTTGGTGGCTGCTGGCTAATCTAAGCCATGACCTTCAACAAAAACATCCCATCTCTCAGGCTAAGTATCCTCTTAGGCAAAATGGGAGGGCTGTGTATAGAAAGTACTCAACCTGACACAGGGACGGAAAGCTGACCGTGAAGGGTCAACGTTAGAATTCGGGTTAGAATTGGCACTCGCGTAACCTAAGGGCTGGTCTTGGACAATCTGGGCCCACTCCAGGGGTTCCAAGCCTGAAGAGCCCGTATGCAGGGGAATGACCAGCTTGGGAAGGTAGCCTGGTCCAGCTCCACATGGCCTCGGCTAACTGCCTAACCTCTCCACACCTATGGTCAGTACGGCACGTCCACAGGCTGAGGCTCAGGAGAACGCCCGGTGAGGCGCATGCTGCTCTCGGCCTCATTAATCCGCACTGTACCTACCCCATTTTATAGGTGACACAGCTGGGTTCCCGCTCTCAAGGTGCTGCTGGTGTGGCTACTAAAGGGAAAAGCAGGCTAGGCCCTGCCCGCCTCGGAGCAAGGACGAAGATAAATTTGTCTGTTAAAATCCCACAGCTTCCCCACTACCAGGTTCCTTTTCTCCAGCTTCTGTAACTGGACTCCTTCCATGGCCCAGCTGCTGGTCAAGAGGCCTTTGTGAGCCCAGACCATGACCCACCCGCTCTGCTCCCCATCACCTAGCAGCTGTTCGGCCATGCTGCAATCTGTCCCCATCCCCGGGGAAGGCCTCGAGGCTGCCCTCTCCAGTTGCCACCCGTGCCTTCACCTAGGACACACACGCACACACCCGGCCCTCTACTCACCAAGAGGCAAGCCATAGCCAAGGCCTCAGGCCTTAAGGACACAGGTGCTCTGCCCACTCAGTACGCGGTTGGTTAGTGGGGCCACCTGGTGCCCCGCGCACACACAGACCACTGACAGCGGCAGGGGAACTCTGGACACCCAGAGGGGCCTGGCCCCGGGGGCCCAGAGAATGCAGGACAACCAAGATGGTCTTCTGGGATGAGCGGGAGGTGGGGAGAGAGGCAAGATTCCCATGGTCTGTCCAGGGTTCTGCAGGGGGAGAGCCCCAGACACACCAGTGACACACTCGGGCACTTGTCACACGTGTCTCCCTCTGTGATAAACACAAGCCCTTCTCATGCTGGGGCAGGGGACAGGCGCACAGACCCTGGCACATCTTGGTGCTTGCCCGGGGGAGGGAGTGAGGACAGCTCAGCAGGTGGGAGAGCTTCAGATCAGTGCCCCTCCTGCTTCTCAACACACCCTCAGCCCGCCCAGAGCAGTGGAGCTGCCGTCCTCAGGAGGGACAGTCCAGGGCAGGGTGGAGAGGACAAACCTCCTTCTGACAACATCCACGGTTCAGCCTCACCGAGCCTGCGCTGTGAACCGGGGCCGGCAGCCCCTCCCTGCGCAGGGCAGGAGGCTCACCAGGGCTTGGTGAGCTTCGGAGGAAGGAGGGCCCCTTCCTCAGCCCCTCACAGCCCAGAGCATCCGGCTCCCGCAGCCCGAAATGGGGAGTCCTGACAGACCTTCAGCTCTCCTCCTCCCAGTCAGCAAACGGCCCCCTGGGGACAGGCATGTGTGCCTCTACACAGCCATGTTGTGTGACCACCAAACCCGGAGGAACAGGAAGGTCCCCCCAGGGCCAGGCTTGTTTGCACTAGGAGCAGTTTATCACTCATTGCTCACTGAGCGCCAGTAAAGTAAATCTTTACAGATACCAGGCGCACCCTCCTATAGGTAAGTGTCTTCACCTCCACGTGACAGAGGGCAGGCGAGTGCAGATAAGCCAGGACACGACAGCCAGGAGTAAGCTCTGAGCCGCCCTGCTGCTCCTAACCTCCGAAACTGTGGAGCAGCACCCAGTAGACCTCACCCAGCACCAGCCACTCCAGCCCAGCAGACACGGTGTGGATGTGAGGTCTGCAGGTGCTCACCCCCGGGGCTACCCTGGGTGGCCCTGCTTGGAGCCCTGAGACACCCCCCTGTGGGGTGGGGCGGGCGGGGGGAGGTGGCTCTAAGGCCTCCTTCCTCCAGAGAGGGGCTGGCTTCCCCTGCACTGAGGGGACACATGCTCACATCTGAATGGCACGGCCCAGGGCAGGAGTAAGTGCTTTTTAGAACCCAAGGCTGGGGAGCAGAGCCACGTCCAGGGCCCCGGGAGGGAAGCCCAAGGGAGGCCAGCCGGTGTCCCCAGTCAGCCCCGGGGCCCAGCCTCTGGGCCAGGCAGGAAAGCCAGGGCTCCTGCAGCAGCCATGGCAGCCTTGTGATGACTGCTGCAGCGGCGTGTCACACAGCTGGCTGAGACAGGGACCCGCCCGCACTTTGCCCAGCACGTCCATCACACACACCCACAACATGAGAGGTAGCAGGGGGCTCATCCAGCTCCCTGCAGGAACCGACCCCCCAGCCGCCGAGACCCCATTCACCTTCCTCATCATCTCCCGGCACCAACGCCTCTGTCCGGTCGGTGGAGAAGTGAGCTGCACCGGGGGGCTGGGCCCTCGCTGCCACCTCACTGCTTCCTCCCAGGGGAGCTCGCGGTCAGGGAACCACAGTGACAGGATGCCGGTTTTTGCACCTCATACAGAGGCTCCCAGACAGGCAGGACAGGCCGACAGACAGACAGAGGGGCAGGCAGGTAGGAGGCCAGGCTTTCCCACAGGGCACTCAGTACACACAGCTGGGCTCCGTCCTGAGGCTCAGACACCTCAACGGGGGGGAAAGGCCAGGGCCGCCCCTCCTCCAGGGCAGACCTGCCAATTTGGCATATTCTGCCCACCCCACTGTGGGCCTCTGGGTTTCTGACTCACACGCCCTTCCCCACCCCGACACCCCGGGGCTTTCTCTCGTCCCTTGGCCCTGAGTGCCTCCCTCTCCACCCTTTCTCCCACACACAGCTGGGGTGGGCCGGGCTAGGGAGCTGCACAGCTGGCCTTCTGTTCTCCCACTCCAATGCTGCAGGTCCCTCAACCCCTGCGACAGGCTCTGACACTAGCGGCCCGAGCCTGTTCCCACCCTGGTCTCAGACCCGCCCCTAGCGACCCAGGCTCTGGGCAGGACCCCGGCAGCACCCAAGTGAGGGCACAGAAGGACAGGACAGAGGCAGGCCCCCAAGCCCGGGACCCACTGCCACACTGCATATGCCCCTATGCTGAACCATTCCTGCAAGGAGCTCTCGCTGTCTTCAGGGGGAGGTGTGTTCCTTGCTATTGAGGAGTATCTCATTTAACCTCTAGGCCATATCCTGAGCTACATACTCTTACCCCCAATTTAGAGATAAGAAAAGTAAGGCTGAGACATTAAGTAATTTGGCCGGCCAGCCAGGACCCTGCGGCTTTGTGGTGGCCGTGAAACAAGTGTGGCTCAGATCTCAGCTGTGGTGGCAGATGAACCAGACCTCTAGACCCATCACCGCGCTCCAGCCAAGGCCACACTGCCCATGGGCCTACTCTAGCCAGTGACTGATGTGCTGAGGTTGCACATCAGCCCCAATGGGCTCCTCCAGCAGGCGAGTCTGGCCAAGGACCACCGCCCCCCCCAAGCCTTGCTGAACCCTTCCCAGCGCTGAGCTGCAGGCTGAGTGCCTTGCCCAGGATGCTTCCTCCTTGGCCTCTTCTATGGTGGCCATCTGGCACTCCCATTTAATGAGAAAGAAGACCGAGGGACAGAGCGCTGAGGTGGCCTGTGGCCTGGCCAAGGTTAGACCCCAGGGCTCCTTACGTCTGGGTCCTTCCACTGGGTGCCACCCCTGAGGTGTGGCTTTGACCGTGGCCATAAGGAAATAGCTTCCTCTTCTCGTTCTCAGCACCCAGCCCCAGCGAAGCTTGCCCCTCCCTCGGAGAGACTTGCGGACCCACCCACCCAGCCACGCAGAGCAGTCAGGCAGCTCTGCCTTCGAGCAAGCAGCCTCGCTTCCTCCCTGGTGGTCTCCTGGTGACTTAGCAGCCCCAGGGCTCCTGCTATGCCTTTGCATTGGGCAGGGACCCAGGGGAAAGGGATAAAATGAGGGGCCTGACCTCTCTTGGAAGGAGTGTGGCCCCACTCCAGCCCAGCTGTGGCCCGCAGGAGGAGAAGCCACACAAGCTCCTGCCCGGGAGCAGAGCCCAGGGCCCCAGAAAGCAGGTCCAGAACACACAGCAGAGTGGCCCTGGCTAGTAAAGCTCCCAGGCCCTCCTTCAGGGCCAGGCTGGCCGCGCATCAGGCTTTCCCTTACAACTTCCCGAAGGCTCAAAGACTTTTCAAGAAAGATAAATGTTGAAACACTGGCCTTGGGCAAGAGCCAAGAGCAGCATTCCATCCCCAGGAGGCAGGAATGCTCCCGGGCGCCCAGGCCCCCCACGCAGCGCCCCTGTGCACACTCACCGGCTCCCACGCACAGGCAGCAGGCACGCCCAATACCCACACACCCACCTGCTGACGCCCACCCACGTGTCTGTGCACACACTTCCCTACGGGGCCCCCTCCCGCGGCCCTGCGGCCGCCCCCAAGCACTATGGGAAGGCAGCAAGAACCATCAGGAGGCCGCAGGGCCAGGCAAGGAGCAGAGCTGAGGCCAGGACACGCTGCGCAAGAAGAACCCAGAATGAGGAAGGGGAGACGGAGAGAAAACCAGAGAAAGGGAAACCGACAGTAGCTGAGGGTGGCAAGCTGGGCTCCAGGCCAGGGATGGGCCGGCCGCAGGCAGGTGGGTCTCAGGGAGGAGAGGGAGCCACTAGACTCCAGCTCCCTGTCTCTACCCCCAAACACACACACACACACACACACACACACACATGCATGCACACATCGCTGCTCCCAAAAGACAAGGCTGGCCAAGGGGCCTCCGTCCCTTCTGCTGGTCTCTCTGCACCGCTGTCCAGCACCGCCATTTCCCCAGGCTGGCTGCGAGGTGGTGTCAGGAGAGACTGGCTCTGAGGACAAGCATCTCACATCTGGCCTTCCTCCCAGGGGGACAAATGCCGTCAGCCCACCTCACATTCCGGAGGGCTCCCCTCACCAGCCTGGCGCCTGGGAGGCTCTGGCTAAGGGCACCACAACCGCCCCTCCTTCTAAGCTCCCTGAATATTGCACTGCAAAGCAGGACCCCAGGGCAAAGGTGGAGGGAGGGAAGCCCACCACCCTAACCCGCTTTCGGGGGCAGCAGGACATCCTGAGTTGGTGTCTATGGTCTCATTATATAGATGAAGAAACTGGGGTTCAGAGAGGCCCCCAGACCTGATGGTTTCGAAAGCTCAGACTCAACTGGCAATTCTCAACGGATGCCCAGCGGGACAGGCAGCGCCTGAGGTTCACTACAGAAGATTCATCCTGCTGCCACTACTCCCCTTGCTGCGTTCCGAAGACGTCACTGGTAACGGAAGCGTTTTTGTGACATAACCAACACAGACAGATTGTGTAGCAGAATGCAAAGTTGTCACCATTTTTCCAGTGCAATAACAAACTAGAAAAGTATTTCCAAGTTCCTACTGGCCAGTCCAGGCTGGGCGGCACCACCCCGCCCCTCCCCCATCCCAGAAAACTCCTGGCCTTGCCCCCACCTGGCCGGCTGTTCTTTTGACAAGTCTTCCTGCTCTGGAAGCCGCTGGCCCCCGACACCAGTCCATAAACGCCCCTTGTCGTTTTCTGTGGACCCCCGTCTGAGGAAGCCCATGGCCTTGCTTGGGAGATGGTCACTCTAAAATTACCCCCTTCCTCTTTTAGCGATTTTCCCTTTCCTTTACGAAACGCGGGTGAGAGTCAAGAGTGATGTTTTGTTTTCTTTTTTGTGTCCTGAACTGGATCAGCCCCACCACAAGGCCTTGAGATTGGACTCATTGGTCAAAAGCCAGAGGGCAGAGAGCCCTGAGGCCCTCCTCCATCCAGGAGCTGGAGGCCTAGCCGCTGACACAGGTGGGGAGCCTGGGGGGTCTCCCACTCCTCCACACCCATCTCTCCAGGTGGACAGGAAGGCGCTCACCCCAGGTGACTGTGGGCCAAAATGCGCTCCCCTCCCCTTCTGTCCTCCCTCCCAGGGGGCCTGAAATTCCAGACTGTTCAGCAGATAAGCCTGTGGCCAGCTGCCAGGGTAGGGCCACCCAAAGCCCAGAGGAAGCTAGGGTGGGCTGCGGTAGGGAGGTGGGAACAGCCCAGAACAGAGCACAGGGGCACAGGGGAGCCGAAGCAGCAGGGCCCAGCGTCAGCACGGGGAAGAGGTTAGGCAGAGTCCGGAAGGGCCCTGCTGAGCTGGCCAGGGTTGAGGTGCAAACCACAAATCAGCAGCAGTCACTCATCCAAAGGCATCCAAGAGGCTTGCAAGTGTTCTCCAGATCCTGTGAGAAGAGGGAGGTATTCCACAGATGAGGAAACTGAGGCTCAAAGCCCACAAGCTCAGCGCTAAGAAAAGTCAGCCAAGAGGAGGTCCAGGTTAAAATAGGCACTGGGGCCCCAAGGGGGCCAGAGGGGCTCCGGCTTGGGATGACTCCCCTCCCCTCAGGGATCACCCTGAGCCCATTCCTAGTCAACAGCAGAAGGAGGCTTCCACAGTGGGTAGGAGGGCTTCCGGAAGGGCCAGAACCACCCAGACCGAAGCTGGCCACCCCCTTGCATAATGGGAAGACACCTGGCTATCCAGACCTCCCCACTTAGCACTCCACCTCACCCAGGCCACACTCCCGTGGGAGAAGAACCGTTCACCAACTTTTCCAGGACAGCCCCAGCTGCTTCCTCCTCAAGGACTCTCACTTGATTTTGACTGTCCCAGAGTGTCCACGGTGAGGGGTCCCTACCCCCTGGACTCTGGGACTTGGCCCCCTGGTGGGGGGCTCATCCTGGGCACCCTCCCCCAGCCTGCCTGGCTCTGCTCTGCAGGGAGCAGTGCAAGGTCCCTGAGCAGACACTCGCAGGAGGAGGCATGCCTGGTGGTAACCCATGTCTCTGAGAAAGCACAGGAATGCATGGGAAGAGCGAAGCTGGGGAAGTGGATGCAGCCCAGGGGAGCGACGCCTGAGACCTGATGAAGGGGACACAACTTGCCAAGCAGAGGGCAAGCAAGTGCAAAGGCCCTGAGGTGGGAAGCGCAAAGCCAGTGCAAAGGGAAGGTAAGAGGCGGTCGTAGGAGGAAGAAGTCCTGAAACACCAGGTGCTGAGCACTTCACAAGATTTCATCAATCCCCCTAAATCCTCATAAAGGAAACATTAGTATTACCCCCACATCGCGGATGAGAAACCAACGCACTGCTTTAAAATCTCTCCGGGGCCACACAGCCAGCCCGCAGGGTGGCTGGAATCCAAACCCAAGGCCTGGCTCCAGAGGCCATTGCTCTAACCACTGCACAAACGGCCTCAGCAGCCAGGGCCAGACCTTAGCTGGAGGCCCCTGGAGGACAACGGCTTTAACCTCTGCATGGAATACAAAGCCCTGAGGAGCTGTGATGGGACTCACAGCGTTAGAATACCCAGGCTGCAGTGTGGGGAGCCCATTTCAAAGGTGTCTGCAGTGACCCAGGTAGAGTCAAGGGCAGGAACAGGTGAGAAGTGGCCGCATGTGGGGTGACAGAGAAGCGAAGGAGAGTCAGGGCTTTCTTCCGACAAGAGGGAAGGAGCTGTCATCACCGGCGATGGGGACTCTGAGGTGCCCAGAGATGTCAAGGAGGGAGGTGGGGACACAACAGCCAGGAACCCCAGGGCAGAAGGCAGACCCCACCTCAGGCTTCTGCACTCCCCATTCCCTGCCCCCCCCCCACATCACTCCTGCCCCCGAGGACCAGCTCTGGACAGCTGCTAAGGGGAGCGAGGGAGGGAGGAGTGTCTGTGCCCAGGACCTCTTCCAGTGGGAGGGCCTCAGGGCAGAAGGTTCAGGCTGTGCAACCCTAGGCAGGGAGTACACCTCTCTGAGCCCTGAGCCTCATCAGTAAAACGGAGCCAAGACCTCTCTCTCAGGGGAAGAATAAGGACGAAGTGTGCTTGAGTAGGTGATTTCCTTTCTGTTCCTCCCCACCCCCAATCTTAACCTGGGGGTTCTCACAGCCAAGCTAGAAAGTTCAGGCCACCTAGTACCCACCCTGTCCCGCCCTCCCACCCCCAGCCCACACATGCCTCTCCTGGTGCCTGCCACCCAGCGCACCTCTTCCTCGTGACTCACGCAGGCTTACGCACGACACTCCCAGAAGACAGCAAACAGCAATCCACCCCACCTCCCCCCAGCGGCACCCCCCGCCCGGGCACCTGTCCCACAGCTCTGCTGGGACCCTGCAAGCCACCCCCTTACCCTGGCCCCCTCTGGTGGTAAGAGGGCAAAATGGTGGAGGCCCCATGGAAACCAAGTGGTGCCTAAGAGTCCTGGCCTCTCGTGACCCCCAGCAGCCACCAGGAGCAGCCCTGATGCACCTTGACTTTGCTGGCTCTGAGCCTGGGATGCAGCCCCTGTAGGGGGAGGCCAGAGAAGGCTCACAGCCAGGGCATGAGTGACACGGGGCCACCCGCTGGTCTCCTGTCATGCTGGGCGGGGCCTGCAGCGGACAGGAACGACCCCACCCTTGGCCCAGCACCCCACACCACCTGTTCAGAGATGTCAGCACAACCACCCCCAGAGCCACCACCCTGCCCCACCTGTCCTCTCCATGCAAGTGTGGGTGCTATTCTCAGCCCCAGGCTCCAGGACACTAGCCATCAACAGAGGGGTGGAATCTGTCCCTCCAGGGCACGGCCTCCCACAGACCCCTCATCAGCTGCTTGCTTAGCCCAGTGGGGGAACAGCTTGTGCAGAGCACAAATCCAGGGCTGGGGGAGGGGAAGGTGAAGTCCCTGCCAGCACCCACCTGCGTTAAGGCACAAAGGTCAGCCCTGGGCCCCCAAAATCTCCATCTGGAAACCCTGCTTCCTCAATGACACCAGCCCATCGCTACTATTTCACATCACCTCCTCCAGGCAGCCTTCCCTGACTCCATCCGAGTCACAGAGACTCACTTGCCCCAGTGGATGCCCTTAGCCCTTTACACATGTCTATTCCTGTCAGAGAAGGTCAACCTAAATATGCAAACAGGCCATTTGTTTATTTCACCAATTGGAATGCTCTGTGTCCACATCTGTGAAATTGTAGCTATTAAATAGTTCCTATGGGCACCTGGGTGGCTCAGTTGACTGAGCATTCGACTTCAACTCATGATCGAGGTCATGATCTCGTGGTTCGTGAGTTCAAGTCCCACGTCGGGCTCTCTGCTGTCGGCACAGAGCCTGCTTTGGATCCTCTGTCCCCACTATCTGCCTGCACCTCCCCTGCTCATTCTCTCTCTCTCTCAAAAATAAATACAAAATAAATAAATAAATAACACCTAAAGGAGACAAGATAAGTGGTATTTTTTTCAAACACATTATCGCTACTATTTTGGTTATTGTTGATATTTTTGTTATTCAAGGCAGCAGATGCCCAGAACCACCTTTAAATAGCTCCCACCCAGTCCAGCCACCAAAGCACAGATAAGCAGCTGTGGCCCAGCAGTCAGGGGAAGATTGGGGGGGGGGGGGGCTCACCCAGGCCCCTGTGCTGACTCCCAGGCCCTTATCTGCCAGGAAGCTTCCAGGCCACAGCCCTGAACCGTCCACAAGTCCCTGGTACCAGGAGGGCACCCCACGGACCCCCAGCTTCACAGATGAGGAGTCAAGGGCTAGGGCCTGGCTGGCTGAGGGCTCCCCAGCGGGGTAGGCCTGTTCCACTGCATTCCACTAGCAGAGGCAGGAGGAGACCTGGGAAGGGGCTGGAGGGGAAGGACGGGCTGACCCCCAGGTAATCCAGTCAAGGGTGAGGCCTGGGGTGGGGGAAGATAGAGGGGCCACCAACAGACCAGGGGTGCCACGTGCCTGGCGGAATGAATGCCTAGGCTTCCTTCTTTGTTTCTTTTTCAAGTTCATTTATTTATTTAGAGAGCGAGTGTGTGTGCGCACACAGGGGAGGGGCAGAGGGAGAGGGAGGGAGAGAATCCCAAGCAGGCTCCGTGCATGAACGAACATCAAGATCATGACCTGGGCCAAAATCAAGAGTCAGACATTCAACCGCCTGAGCCACCCAGGTGCCCCTTCAGGCTTCCTTCTGATAATCTTGCACCCTACTTTTCTGTGCTTTGGAGGGGGGCGGTTAGAGAAGTAGGGTGGGCAAGGGGCAGACCAAAGGGGAAGGCAGCATCTCCCCCAGCCCCAGCAGACGCAGGAGGCCAGTGCACAGCGAGCAGGAGCAGGGGCCGGAGGGCTCACTGGCTCAGCAGACAGCTCAGGGGGAGGGTGTGCGGGCCCCCGGAGGCCTGGACAGGTCATCATGCTCCAGGTGGCAGTGGCCTACCTCTATAATCAAAGGAGGGAGGTGAGGACCAGGTGAGCGTGAGAAGCCCGTCGACTCCAGCTTCCCAGGGCTTGGGCAGACCATCAGCTCAGGGGTCCCTGTCTCACCGACTAAGGAGGGACCCCAAGCGTCTGGCCTACGGCCCTCCACTCAAACATCGAGGCTCACACCCAAGGCTCCAGAAGGGCTGAGGCAGCGAGGACAGGGAGGGATGGCAGAGACCCCCAGAAATCATAGCAAACACCAGCTCACCCTCTGCCTGCTGAGTTCATGCCTGCTGCCCCTTCTTCTCCAGGGCCCTCATTACCAGGAGAAACACAATTCGATCCGACACCAAGGGAAAGCTGAACACCAAGAGAGCTACCAATTCCTTTAAAAAAAAATAAATAAAATCACAGGAATGTGCCAAAGGAGGGCACAGGAAACATCAGATGGACGCCCAGCCCCAGATTCTGCTGGCAAGCCCCTGGCCATCCCTTGCTACAGCTCTGGAAACTTCTAAAAGCTGGAAGGGATTCTGTTGCCTACAAGGAGAAGGAATCAGAGTGGAGGGCTGAAAGGGTGGGAAGTGAAGGGGTGTCCCTCTTGTCACCCTGCCCCCATGAGGCCCTCTCGAGGCATTGCCTCTTTCGTTCCTCCCCAGAGCCCTCAGACTCACCGTGTCCTGCCCCACAGCTGGGCCAGGGATGCCCTGGACTCAGCCAGGAGACCCCCACAGGCCCTGCACAGAGTGCCAAGGCAGAGTCGCACACCCCGCACCCACCTAAGGTGCCTCAGCCACCCCCACCCGGTGGAGAGCTGGGCCCGTGAGCTGGCACACCAACTGTCAGTATCCTTGGTGTGAAATGCAAACACTGTTCTCCAGTTAATCTTCACAAATAGGAAAAGTGAGGCTCTGAGGGGTAAGTAACCTGTCCAAAGACAGCGAGGCTTTGAGCCCAGGCCTTGCACCTT